GACCAGACGCGAAGACTTGAGGAGAAGATCGAACCAGCCATGTAATGGACAGGCCTGATTTGCTGAAAGAGGCGGAGCCGTGGAAACACCCCCGGGTTCGGGCACCGAGCAAGCAGTGCCTGAAACCAAGGCTGGGCCGGTTGCCAAGGAGCCAGAAGGACAACTCTTCCTTGGTAAGTCTCCAACAAGCTAGGACCTGGAGCAACAGCAGAACTGGGGGGATAGAAGAGATACAGGAAACCCCACCTTGACCAGTTCTGCCTGAAGGCATCAATGGCCTAACAGTCGGGGAAGGGCGCCACATACCGGGAGACTCCTCGACCACGCTGACACAAAGAGGTCCACCTCCGGGAGCCCGTATGTTCGGCAAAGCCAATGGAATGAGTCGGCGTCGACTGTGCATTCTGTGGACAGGGGAATGAGCCGAGATAGTCTGTCCTCCAGGACGTTGGACACCCACTAAACGTGAACGGCCAGGAGAGCCAAACCCCGAAAACTCAGCAGACAAGTCACCCGAAGCGACCAGCCCCAAAGAGCCAAAGATCGCATCAAACCCCCGCGGTTCAGGCAATGAAGCACCGGGGAGCAGTCCAAATGGAGCCGGATCCTCGATCCACAAGCGACCCGCACCCTCCGAAGCGACATCCACACAGCCACAAACTCCTACGCCATGTTGCGAGCCTGACTGAAGGACAAACTCCATGGAGCCGGAACCTCGATCTACAAGCGACACGCACCCTCTGAAGCGACATCCACACAGCTGCAAACTCCTGCACCGTGCTGTGAGCCCGATGGAATAACGGACCCCACCTTCCCTGGCCAGCCTGGTGAACACTGGTCACAAAATTCCACCAGCCAAGAGACGACGCATCCATGAACACATCGAGCGAAGGTTCGGATAGGCGCCAAGGCATTGAACCCCGAAGAGTAAGCCGGTGACGCAGCAACTGATGCAAGGTCTGCAGAGGCCGAACCCACAAGCGAAGGCAGAACTGCAGCTGAAGCAGAGCCTCTGGAGGGAGAGGCAAGAAAGTGGTCCGAGCATCCCACACAAGACCCAGCCAAGACAGAACCTGAGAGGGAACCAGATGGGACTTCCTCCAGTTCACCAGGAACCCGAACCCATCGAGCCGAGAAAGAACCAAATTCCTGGCGAGCAGACATGTGGAACGGCTGGGAGCCCACACCAGCCAGTTGTTGAGGTAGGCCAGAACCTGAAAACCTAAAAGACACAGACGGGCCACCACGACCTGGGTAAGGCATGTGAATACGCGAGGCGCCAGATTCAAGGCGAATGAAAGGCAACAAAAGAGGTAACCCTGATATCCCACAACAAAACTGAGCCATTCCCTGAAACCTGGATGAATCACGACGTGCCAATATGCATCCTTGAGGTCCAGGGACTCCATCCAAGCACACGGCTCCAAGAGAAGATGGACCTGGGACAGAGTAGTCATCCGAAAGAAGGGGCAATAAACCCACGGGTTCAGATGGGACAAGTCCAAAATGAACCCGAGGTCCGCTCAGTCCCATTTCCAAACCAGAAACAGGCAGGAAACCCACCTGAGGGATGAGATCGTTTTGACCATACCCAAGCGAATCCACTCCAAGATGACTGTGTAGAGCGTTGGCCTGCCCCGCCAACCCCGAACATCCTGAAGGAAGAGGGGCCAACAAACGCCACCACAGGCCGCATGAAACGACCCAAAAGCCCCACAAATCATGGGACCAGCATGAGCAAACAGAGCAAGACACCCCCCCCCCCATATCACCCCGTCAATGGGATGAACAGCGAAAGGGCCGACGCCCCTTGTGAGAACCCGACCTCCGCACAGAGCAATTACTGCGCCGACCATGACGGGAGAAACCCCCGAGCTCCAGCACGACCCTTCCGGGAAGACCCTCCATGGGCTCCCCGGAGAACCAACTATTCTGACATAGGGCGGCAACTAGAAGCTGCTGCCTGCAGATACTGCAGAACTGAAGACTCTGCAAACGGCAATAGGCAAAAAGCCAAAGAAATCTTACAAGCCAGGGCCCAAGCGGATTCCACAGAAGAAGCAAGCTTCGCCTGCCGACACACGAGACGGGAAACAAAAAACAGTGACACCACATCCCATAGGATCAGCGCAAACAGCTTCAAAAGTGCAGCAGACGTACGCACTGCCGAGGCCAACGCACCCGGCCCAGGAGCGGCTCCAATCTCCTCCACGTCCCCCTCAAGCCAGTCCGAGGACTGCATGAGAAGGAAAAAGAATCACAAGAACAAAGCTAACAGGCCACAGGTATGCAAGTCCTCAGCAACCAAAGTAACCTAAATGGAAGGAACCTGCACGTAAAGCTGCTCCACATCGACATCCCGAGGAAGGGCAGAGGTGAACAAGCATGCATTGAGGTGCTCAAACTTGCCCTCCAGGAAATCCTGGACCTCCGTATGAGCCTCACGCTACTCAAGCGCGGAGGACAGAGAAAGAATGCCACGCCTCCAACAAGAAAAAGGGGCAGTCCCCAAGCTAAGACAACTCCGGAACCTCATAATGAACTCGGTAGGGACAGGAAGAGCCATACACAAAGGAAGAAGGATCCATCATGACGGGATAATCTGGGTCGCGCAGGAGGTAAGCTGCAATGGCCTCCCGCACCACATGGGTTGTGCGTTGCAGCAACCTAAATCGAGCGTGCAATGCTGAAGCTGCCTGCACCTGCAAATCCTGATCAGTGTGCTGGGTGAATTGGAGCCCGAACAATGAACAAATTGCAAGACTCCTGGTCGAAAGTGTCACCGACCCAACAGGCAGCATGACGGAGGCACAACTGGTGAGTATTACCCTGAGACAAGGGCAGCCTTCAAACTCTCACGAAGTGAGAGGGGACCCAGGGGTCGCGTCCATCGGACAAAAGAACAAACTCCCCCGGGGTTTCCTAGGGCTCTCTGTTGCATTATCTCGCTAAGGGAAGCCAAGGCAGGGTACTGCTCACTGGCACCCAAAAACTACCAGGCAAACTGCTACAGCTGAACCCCCCTGGATGTGTACACTTTGTGGGGGCTTAGCGGAGGACCACCAAAGAATAATGGGCGTGACCAAACCAAGGGGGGCAGACCCTCTCCACTAGACAGGAAAACAAAATGAAAAGAAAAAGACCACAAGAGGACAATGTGCCCAGGCAGAACAGAGCCAGCCACTATGAGAGGTGATGACCAGCTGCACAGTACCCTGAGCCCCAACCAGTGACGAAAACAACCCGTTCTCGCAAATTCGTAAAGTCAATATTGACTTATTAACTACGTGCATAGGTGATATACTAAACATAATAGATACCCTTAAAAGATTCATAGAAAACACCAACCTTACCTAACCTTGTTAGTATCTTAAGATAAGCATCTTATTGCTTCGTAATTACAATTATTACCTAACTTATAATAGGTATAGGTTAAGTAATAATTGTAATTACGAAGCAATAAGATGCTTATCTTAAGATACTAACAAGGTTAGGTAAGGTCGGTGTTTTCTATGAATCTTGTTAAGGGTATCTATTATGTTAAGTATGTCACCTATGCACATATTAATAAGTCAATATTGACTTAATAAATTTGCGAGAACGGGTTGGACGAAAACTACCCCCTACCCCGAGGCAAACAGGAGCAATAAACACCCCAACTGATTCCATGGGCGGTCAATCACCGAGTAGCAAAAGACACAGCGGAGGTAGATCCCAAGGAGACTTGTGGAAGGTAACCCCAAGCCCCCAAGGGCAGTACTTACAGAGCACCTAGGGAAGGCAACCCTAGGGGCATGCTGCCTGAGTACTGGAAAAATCACTCCTGAAATTACTCCACACCACAAGGCACAGAACCGGAAAATACTGGAGCCAGACACACATGACCTTGCCAGTTCCACATCAGCCACAGAACTGCAGGGTGGTTTGCCTGTGGAGGGGGGATGGGAGGAGTCTGGGGCTCCCCCTTCCCCTTCCCAGGGAGGGGGGTGCAGACAGTGGTGCGGTGACGACGTCATGCTCGTTTGCTTGTTTTTATTTGGGGAGTTCTGTCCACTAGTTCGGCTTTCAGTAGCA